TATATATATATATATCCTTCTTTGGTTTGAATAATATTATTAGAGAATAAGTTTATCTCTGTTTTCTTAAGATCTTCATCTTTTGATCCATAAGCTCCACTAGAAAGAATATGATTAACAAGATGTATAGAATTAGAAAGATCATGGGAAGAATTGCATCATGGGACTTGTGAACGGTCCTCTGATTTCATCACTGGTGTTTTGATTCTTAGTCAGTAGATATCTGGGTGTCTGTCATTTTTTTTTCTTATATTTCTTTCTTTTTGGGTTCTGTTGTAACCAAAAACAAAAGATCAAAGCCTGCAAAATTGGGATAGGAAGATCATCTTGCAATGGGACTTGTGAACGGTCCTCTGATTTCATAGGGGAGTTGCATTTGATCTTCTTCATTCATCACTTCTTGGAATTCTGGGTTTTTACGTTCCTATTCGATTCTCCAAATGGGTAAATCGACCAAGAAGTCCGCCTCCAAAGTACAGTCATTGATATTATTCAAGATGAAGTTTCTTTCTGTTCTGTATATACGYGTGCCTYTGTATGTAGAAGTATTTATGTTTGATGAATCTATTTTGTTTTGATTTTGGTTAGGTTGATTCAACTGCTKYYGTTGTAGCTCCACCGGCCAAAACAATTAAAAAAGGTAGTTTCATTTGTTCATGAATTATGCCATGTTCTTTTGATTTCCAGGTAAAAAAACTTGATATACACATAGTATATATGTGTGTGTRTATAATTAGCGGTTTTGATTCTTAGTCAGTAGATATCTGCGTGGCATCAGTGATTCTGTGTATGAAGAGTTTGGGTTTATACCCGTTTATGATTCTTTTAATCTGTTTGGGTTCATTAACTTTCTGTTTTATGCCTTTTAGATACACATAGTACTTTCAGGGACCTCCCTTTTTCTATGTTTATGCTTTTTAGATACTAAAATGATACCCTGTTTTTGGATGCAATCTCTCTTTTTCTATGTCATGCTTTTTGAACTAATCTTTACAGCTTCTTTTGATATCCTGATAGAACAAAATGGTCTAATAGTTTTTATCCGTAATCTATATGTCCGTTTACATCTTTTCAAAATTTCACATCCCGCCGCATTGCGCGTGTACACTACTAGTACCTTATAATTAGTTATTTGATTTACTTTATATCCCTTTCTTTTTCATTTTTTATTTTACACCTTTATCATATTAACATACATAACCAAATATATTAAAAAGTATGTTTCTTTTTCTATAATCGTTTTATCAATATCTTCAAAATGAACTAAATATTGAATATTTTTGGATTTAATCATATTATTAAATAATATAAACACATAAAGGATTATTTTTAAAACTTGTTTTCAATATCTTAATTTTTTATTTTGCACCCCT